CAGCAGTAGTTTAGCAGCAGTAGTTTAGCAGCAGTAGTTTAGCAGCAGTAGGTTAGCAGCAGTAGTTTAGCAGCAGTAGGTTAGCAGCAGTAGTTTAGCAGCAGTAGGTTAGCAGCAGTAGTTTAGCAGCAGTAGTTTAGCAGCAGTAGGTTAGCAGCAGTAGTTTAGCAGCAGTAGGTTAGCAGCAGTAGTTTAGCAGCAGTAGGTTTAGCAGCAGTAGGTTAGCAGCAGTAGGTTAGCAGCAGTAGTTTAGCAGCAGTAGGTTAGCAGCAGTAGGTTAGCAGCAGTAGTTTAGCAGCAGTAGGTTTAGCAGCAGTAGTTTAGCAGCAGTAGGTTTAGCAGCAGTAGTTTAGCAGCAGTAGGTTAGCAGCAGTAGTTTAGCAGCAGTAGGTTAGCAGCAGTAGTTTTAGCAGCAGTAGGTTAGCAGCAGTAGTTTAGCAGCAGTAGTTTAGCAGCAGTAGGTTAGCAGCAGTAGTTTAGCAGCAGTAGGTTAGCAGCAGTAGTTTAGCAGCAGTAGTTTAGCAGCAGTAGGTTAGCAGCAGTAGGTTAGCAGCAGTAGTTTAGCAGCTAGCAGCAGTAGTTTAGCAGCAGTAGGTTAGCAGCAGTAGGTTAGCAGCAGTAGTTTAGCAGCAGTAGGTTAGCAGCAGTAGTTTAGCAGCAGTAGGTTAGCAGCAGTAGTTTAGCAGCAGTAGGTTAGCAGCAGTAGGTTTAGCAGCAGTAGGTTAGCAGCAGTAGGTTAGCAGCAGTAGGTTTGTTAGCAGCAGTAGGTTAGCAGCAGTAGTTTAGCAGCAGTAGGTTAGCAGCAGTAGTTTAGCAGCAGTAGGTTAGCAGCAGTAGTTTAGCAGCAGTAGTTTAGCAGCAGTAGGTTAGCAGCAGTAGTTTAGCAGCAGTAGTTTAGCAGCAGTAGGTTAGCAGCAGTAGTTTAGCAGCAGTAGGTTAGCAGCAGTAGTTTAGCAGCAGTAGGTTAGCAGCAGTAGTTTAGCAGCAGTAGTTTAGCAGCAGTAGGTTAGCAGCAGTAGTTTAGCAGCAGTAGGTTAGCAGCAGTAGGTTAGCAGCAGTAGTTTAGCAGCAGTAGTTTAGCAGCAGTAGGTTAGCAGCAGTAGTTTAGCAGCAGTAGGTTAGCAGCAGTAGTTTAGCAGCAGTAGTTTAGCAGCAGTAGGTTAGCAGCAGTAGTTTAGCAGCAGTAGTTTAGCAGCAGTAGTTTAGCAGCAGTAGGTTAGCAGCAGTAGTTTAGCAGCAGTAGGTTAGCAGCAGTAGTTTAGCAGCAGTAGTTTAGCAGCAGTAGTTTAGCAGCAGTAGTTTAGCAGCAGTAGTTTAGCAGCAGTAGGTTAGCAGCAGTAGTTTAGCAGCAGTAGTTTAGCAGCAGTAGGTTAGCAGCAGTAGTTTAGCAGCAGTAGGTTAGCAGCAGTAGTTTAGCAGCAGTAGGTTAGCAGCAGTAGGTTAGCAGCAGTAGGTTAGCAGCAGTGGTTTAGCAGCAGTAGTTTAGCAGCAGTAGTTTAGCAGCAGTAGGTTAGCAGCAGTGGTTTAGCAGCAGTAGGTTAGCAGCAGTGGTTTAGCAGCAGTAGTTTAGCAGCAGTGGTTTAGCAGCAGTAGTTTAGCAGCAGTAGGTTAGCAGCAGTAGGTTAGCAGCAGTGGTTTAGCAGCAGTAGTTTAGCAGCAGTAGTTTAGCAGCAGTAGGTTAGCAGCAGTAGTTTAGCAGCAGTAGGTTAGGTTAGCAGCAGTAGTTTAGCAGCAGTAGGTTAGCAGCAGTAGGTTAGCAGCAGTAGGTTAGCAGCAGTGGTTTAGCAGCAGTAGTTTAGCAGCAGTAGTTTAGCAGCAGTAGGTTAGCAGCAGTAGTTTAGCAGCAGTAGGTTAGCAGCAGTAGGTTAGCAGCAGTAGGTTAGCAGCAGTAGGTTAGCAGCAGTAGTTTAGCAGCAGTAGTTTAGCAGCAGTAGTTTAGCAGCAGTAGGTTAGCAGCAGTAGTTTAGCAGCAGTAGTTTAGCAGCAGTAGGTTAGCAGCAGTAGGTTAGCAGCAGTAGTTTAGCAGCAGTAGGTTAGCAGCAGTAGGTTAGCAGCAGTAGGTTAGCAGCAGTAGGTTAGCAGCAGTAGGTTAGCAGCAGTAGTTTAGCAGCAGTAGGTTAGCAGCAGTAGTTTAGCAGCAGTAGGTTAGCAGCAGTAGTTTAGCAGCAGTAGGTTAGCAGCAGTAGGTTAGCAGCAGTAGTTTAGCAGCAGTAGGTTAGCAGCAGTAGTTTAGCAGCAGTAGGTTAGCAGCAGTAGGTTAGCAGCAGTAGTTTAGCAGCAGTAGGTTAGCAGCAGTAGTTTAGCAGCAGTAGGTTAGCAGCAGTAGTTTAGCAGCAGTAGGTTAGCAGCAGTAGTTTAGCAGCAGTAGGTTAGCAGCAGTAGGTTAGCAGCAGTAGTTTAGCAGCAGTAGGTTAGCAGCAGTAGTTTAGCAGCAGTAGGTTAGCAGCAGTAGGTTAGCAGCAGTAGTTTAGCAGCAGTAGTTTAGCAGCAGTAGGTTAGCAGCAGTAGTTTAGCAGCAGTAGGTTAGCAGCAGTAGGTTAGCAGCAGTAGGTTAGCAGCAGTAGGTTAGCAGCAGTAGGTTAGCAGCAGTAGTTTAGCAGCAGTAGGTTAGCAGCAGTAGGTTAGCAGCAGTAGGTTAGCAGCAGTAGTTTAGCAGCAGTAGGTTAGCAGCAGTAGGTTAGCAGCAGTAGTTTAGCAGCAGTAGGTTAGCAGCAGTAGGTTAGCAGCAGTAGTTTAGCAGCAGTAGGTTAGCAGCAGTAGTTTAGCAGCAGTAGGTTAGCAGCAGTAGGTTAGCAGCAGTAGGTTAGCAGCAGTAGTTTAGCAGCAGTAGGTTAGCAGCAGTAGGTTAGCAGCAGTAGGTTAGCAGCAGTATTGACCACATGCATTGGCGTCATCCAGTCACATGATTGTGCATGATTAAGACGGAAATAGAGGAAACTAGCATAGTGGGGAGAGCAAAACGGACACAACTCTCAAAAACTGAGCTTTTTCTCCTAAAACGAGAAGTGGCTGCTTCAAGCACATGTTCGATTACGTTATCAGAGAAAGTAAGACATCAGGTCAGGGCTCACAAAGAGTGGAATTTGGAGAAGTTAAGGATCGCCGAACTGGATGTTGACCCGTACCTTCTCCCCCCAGTCAATTTTATTGATTAAATTAAATGTCTAATCATTATGCATCCCCTCACACCTGAGCAGATTTATATGTACATTTTGCTGTTAGCATTAGCGCATTAGCAATAGTCCACTTTTCTGTGGCATTTCTGTCTACAGCCAAACATGATACATATTGACGGAGAGCAAAATGGTGAAAAACGCAACTGACGTCTAAGATAAGATAAGAGATCCTTTATTCGTGGCACAGTGGGGAAATTTCAATGTTGCAGCGCACATACAGGACAGTGGTATGAGACACGTTTGACTTGTGTCATTGTCGTCCAAATTAATGTAAAATAAATACAAAATTTGATTGTTCTTGTAAAAAGTGTTCACTGCAGATTAGGGAGTACTTGGATGGGTCCCAGTCCTTTTGGTTGATTGCCGCCATTGTTGTCTTCTGTCTTCATCGCGAGCAGGTATCAGATAAAAAGACACATTTGGCTTATGTCCTTGCCTGTTAGTACAACCAACCGCACTGATAAATATCACAGTTTGGCAGTAACTCGGTGAAACAGATTATTTTAGTCAGGTTTCCGTCTGTCATGGAGAGTGGGCGTGGCCGGGACGTCACATGCACGGGGTCAATAAGTGTATCCTTTGAGCCACAGTCCATCAGGAGCAGGTCTGAGGCGGCTGGAGTCCCGAGTCCCGGCAGCAGGGGGCCTCACCTGCGGGTCCTATATATATATATATATGCGCCCAGCGGGGGGCCGTCAGGACGCCTCGCCCCGAATGAGAAGCGCTGAGAGAACGGCGGGAAACAAAATGAGCCGGAAATCATTCAGGAAACTCTGGACATGTCTGAGAAAGAAGTTACTTTGACGGAACATGGAAGTAGAGTGTTGTAGAACTGTAGGGTTTGAGAAAGAGAGAGAGAGAGAGAGAGGTAAGTAGGGAGAGAAAAGAGAGAGAAATGTAGGTAGAGAGAGAGAGAGAGAGGGTGTGAGAGAGGTAAGTAAGGAGAGAAAATAGAGAGAGGGGTTGAGAGAGAAATGTAGGTAGGAAGAGGGAGAGAGAGATAGAGAGAGAGTGAGAAATGTAAGTAGGGAGAGAGAGGGAAAGAGATGAATAAACGTGGATGTAGAGAGAGAGAGAGAGAGAAAGGTAGATAGGAAGGGACAGGGAGAGATAGAGAGAGGCAGACAGGGAGTGGGAGAGAGCAAGAGAACGGGAGAGAGAGCGAGAGAGAGAGAAAAACACATCCATCGATTCAAACGTCAACAAATCCATATCTAAACGCTATGCGATGCTACAGTTAGCATAGTGTAGCATGACGTAGCACAATGTAGCATGATGTAGCGTGACGTAGCACGATGTAGCACAATGTAGCATGACGTAGCACGATGTAGCATGATGTAGCACAATGTAGCACAAAGTAGCACAACGTAGCATGATGTAGCACAACGTAGCATGATGTATCTTTTGCGTCACAGTAACTTGTATTTTTTTTCCTCTTTGCTATAATTTCCCGAAGCGTTTAGGTCTCGGAGAGAAGGAAATTGCAGATGGAAATTGTAGCAAAGAGAAAAGCAACTTAAATACAACCAAACCTCCTCATTCCAGGGGAGGCAAATTTAGCTACATTTTGCTAAATTTGAGGCATTCTTGTGTTGTTTTTTCCTCTCTTTCTGCAGTGGTGTGCCTTCCCGGACCATGATGCACTGCTCCCGCTCCTCACCGCTGTCTGTAAAATCCATTCCCGGTTTAATGATGTGTATAAATTGACTTTTAATCATATTTAGATCCGTGCGAGGACGGCTAAAGCTGCATTTTTCCTCCAGGTTTATCGCCCCAGAGAAGAATGCGCCGATCGTCTCCAATCGCGTCCTGCGGCTCCGGTGAATGGGGCCCGTCACTTTGGGGGCCCGTCGCTTTGGGGGCCCGTCACTTTGGGGGCCCGTCACTTTGGGGGCCCGTCACTTTGGGGGCCGTCACTTTGGGGGCCCGTCACTTTGGGGGCCTGTCACTTTGGGGCCCGTCACTTTGGGGGCCCGTCACTTTGGGGGCCGTCACTTTGGGGGCCCGTCACTTTGGGGGCCTGTCACTTTGGGGGCCCGTCACTTTGGGGGCCCGTCACTTTGGGGGCCGTCACTTTGGGGGCCCGTCACTTTGGGGGCCTGTCACTTTGGGGGCCTGTCACTTTGGGGCCCGTCACTTTGGGGGCCCGTCACTTTGGGGGCCCGTCACTTTGGGGGCCCGTCACTTTGGGGGCCTGTCACTTTGGGGGCCCGTCACTTTGGGGGCCGTCACTTTGGGGGCCCGTCACTTTGGGGGCCTGTCACTTTGGGGCCCGTCACTTTGGGGGCCCGTCACTTTGGGAGCCCGTCACTTTGGGGGCCTGTCACTTTGGGGGCCTCTCACTTTGGGGCCCGTCACTTTGGGGGCCCGTCACTTTGGGGGCCCGTCACTTTGGGGGCCTGTCACTTTGGGGGCCCGTCACTTTGGGGGCCTGTCACTTTGGGGGCCTGTCACTTTGGGGCCCGTCACTTTGGGGGCCCGTCACTTTGGGAGCCCGTCACTTTGGGGGCCTGTCACTTTGGGGGCCTGTCACTTTGGGGCCCGTCACTTTGGGGGCCCGTCACTTTGGGGGCCCGTCACTTTGGGGGCCGTCACTTTGGGGGCCCGTCACTTTGGGGGCCTGTCACTTTGGGGGCCCGTCACTTTGGGGGCCGTCACTTTGGGGGCCCGTCACTTTGGGGGCCCGTCACTTTGGGGGCCGTCACTTTGGGGGCCCGTCACTTTGGGGGCCTGTCACTTTGGGGGCCTGTCACTTTGGGGCCCGTCACTTTGGGGGCCCGTCACTTTGGGGGCCCGTCACTTTGGGGGCCCGTCACTTTGGGGGCCTGTCACTTTGGGGGCCCGTCACTTTGGGGGCCGTCACTTTGGGGGCCCGTCACTTTGGGGGCCTGTCACTTTGGGGGCCTGTCACTTTGGGGCCCGTCACTTTGGGGGCCCGTCACTTTGGGAGCCCGTCACTTTGGGGGCCTGTCACTTTGGGGGCCTGTCACTTTGGGGGCCCGTCACTTTGGGGGCCGTCACTTAGGGGGCCCGTCACTTTGGGGGCCCGTCACTTTGGGGGCCTGTCACTTTGTGGGCCGTCACTTTGGGGGCCCGTCACTTTGGGGGCCCGTCACTTTGGGGGCCCGTCACTTTGGGGGCCGTCACTTTGGGGGCCTGTCACTTTGGGGGCCCGTCACTTTGGGGGCCTGTCACTTTGGGGGCCTGTCACTTTGGGGCCCGTCACTTTGGGGGCCCGTCACTTTGGGAGCCCGTCACTTTGGGGGCCTGTCACTTTGGGGGCCTGTCACTTTGGGGGCCCGTCACTTTGGGGGCCGTCACTTAGGGGGCCCGTCACTTTGGGGGCCCGTCACTTTGGGGGCCTGTCACTTTGTGGGCCGTCACTTTGGGGGCCCGTCACTTTGGGGGCCCGTCACTTTGGGGGCCCGTCACTTTGGGGGCCGTCACTTTGGGGGCCTGTCACTTTGGGGGCCCGTCACTTTGGGGGCCTGTCACTTTGGGGGCCCGTCACTTTGGGGGCCTGTCACTTTGGGGGCCTGTCACTTTGGGGGCCCGTCACTTTGGGGGCCTGTCACTTTGGGGGCCGTCGTGTGGATCAGAAAAGTGGGAGTTTGGACTAAACTTTCAGACCTGAAGAAGTCGCAGTGAAGACGATGCGTTCTTCGGAAAACATGTGAGGCTTAATATAGAAGAGATTTAAAGGTCTCTCTCTCTCTCTACTCCCTACCTCTCTTTACTGCTCTCTTTCTTCCTCTCCCTACCTACCCCCCCCCCTCTCTCTCTCCCTCTCCTTACCCACCTCTCTTACCGTCATCCCTCTCTCCCTACCTCTCTCTTTCTCTGTGCCCACCTACCTCTCTCTCGCCCTACCTCTCTCTTTCTCTGTGCCCACCTACCTCTCTCTTTCTCTCTGCCCACCTACCTCTCTCTTTCTCTGTGCCCACCTACCTCTCTCTTTCTCTCTGCCCACCTACCTCTCTCTCGCCCTACCTCTCTCTTTCTCTGTGCCCACCTACCTCTCTCTTTCTCTCTGCCCACCTACCTCTCTCTTTCTCTGTGCCCACCTACCTCTCTCTTTCTCTGTGCCCACCTACCTCTCTCTTTCTCTGTGCCCACCTACCTCTCTCTAACCCTACCTCTCTATCTCTCTCTCCCTCTACTTACCCACCGTTCTCCCACTCCTTACCTACCCCTCTCTCACTCTACCTTCCTCTTTACCTATCTATCTTCTTCCTCTCTCTGTTTCTCCCTCTCCACCTCCACCCACCTCTCTTTCTCTGTACCCACCAGTGGGGGCGGGTCCCGGCTCAAAAGTGGCCAAAATGACGTGCGCTGACATGCTGCAATACCACCCCGGGCCTGTGGGGGTGGACCCAGAATAAGAATTAGCCAATGCTAACATATAGCATTATGTGTGTCAATGCTGAGGGGAGTGGATTTTTTTGGTCCAGTCTAGTTTACTTGCTGTGAATTTTTGAAGTCTCTCGTTCAGATGAATGGAGCTGCGCCGTGTTGGAATATTAGAGGCCTCCTGCACCAGTTAGACTAAAATCAGTTTGTTTCTGTTGCTAAATTAATACTTAAACAACTTAAACGTCAGAATGATTAGGTCTAGAAAGCACTTGTTTGTGTAAATTTCAAAGAGCAGTTAGGTCAAGGTTATTATTTCTGAATAGTAGCAGTTCTGTATGAAAAGTGAGAAAAACTAGAGTTGTTATCAAGCAGGTGCAGGTTTTGGCAGCTGGCCAGAAGAAGTCATAGAGTCCACGAATCTGTGATGTCAGTGACCTTGGATGTACAGTATAAAAGATGTACAGAAGGAGGCACGGGGGCTTCTTCTGACCAGGAGGGTGAAAGACGTCCCCGGGGCCACTTCTTATCTTCAACGCGAAGCGAGACATGTTCGCAGACCGTTACTTTTGTAATGTTGCTTGCAAATCTTCAATATAACATCTGAAATCAGGTTTGGTGTCTGTCATTGATTGACTGCGGAACCTTCCGCAGTCAACCATTGGTTTTGTATTTCTTTATTCCGTCATTTTTTTTGACACGTTTCACAGCTTTCACATTTTCAACAATTTCCACAAGTTATACATCAAAACGTTCCACATGTTTGGGAGATTATTGCTATTACTTTTGGGACTTCAGCGATTTCCGGTTTTTCCGCAATCGGACAAAAATCTGCATTGAGAATTCTGCAATGCATTTTAATAGGCCCATGCATTTTAATAGGACTTCAGCTCTTTCAGACATTTCTACAGTTTCAATGATTCAACAGTTTCAAGGATTCAACAGTTTCAAGGATTTCAGCAGTTTCAAGATTTCAAGAGTTTCAAGGACTTCAACAGTTTCAAGGACTTCAGCAGTTTCAAGGACTTCAGCAGTTTCAAGGTTTCAAGAGTTTCAAGGACTTCAACAGTTTCAAGGACTTCAACAGTTTCAAGGACTTCAGTGTAATCATGCAACCTAATAGGGATTTTTCCATGTAAACCAGTATAATGCAACTTAATAGGGGTTTTTACATGTAAACCAGTATAATGCAACTTAATGGGGATTTTTCCATGTAAACCAGTATAATGCAACTTAATAGGGTTTTTTCCATGTAAACCAGTATAATGCAACTTAATAGGGATTTTTCCATGTAAACCAGTATAATGCAACTTAATAGGGTTTTTTTCATGTAAACCAGTATAATGCAACTTAATGGGGATTTTTCCATGTAAACCAGTATAATGCAACTTAATATGGGTTTTTACATGTAAACCAGTATAATGCAACTTAATAGGGTTTTTTTTTTACATGTAAACCAGTATAATGGAACTTAATAGGGTTTTTTACATGTAAACCAGTATAATGGAACTTAATAGGGGTTTTTACATGTAAACCAGTATAATGGAACTTAATAGGGGTTTTTACATGTAAACCAGTATAATGCAACTTAATAGGGATTTTTACATGTAAACCAGTATAATGGAACTTAATAGGGTTTTTTACATGTAAACCAGTATAATGGAACTTAATAGGGGTTTTTACATGTAAACCAGTATAATGCAACTTAATAGGGATTTTTACATGTAAACCAGTATAATGCAACTTAATAGGGATTTTTCCATGTAAACCAGTATAATGCAACTTAATAGGGTTTTTTACATGTAAACCAGTATAATGCAACTTAATGGGGATTTTTCCATGTAAACCAGTATAATGCAACTTAATAGGGGTTTTTACATGTAAACCAGTATAATGCAACTTAATAGGGTTTTTTACATGTAAACCAGTATAATGCAACTTAATGGGGATTTTTCCATGTAAACCAGTATAATGCAACTTAATAGGGGTTTTTACATGTAAACCAGTATAAAGGATAACAGTTTAAAGGATATCAGGAGCTTCAAATACTTCAGGAGTTTCAAAGATGTTTAAAGTATTTTAACAGTTTCAAGGATTTCAAGGATTTTTCAGCTAAATTCCACATTAGATCTGTTCCGCAGTCAATCGCAATGGCTTCAGCCATTGCAAGTTTCTAGTTTCTATTACTGTTTTAACATTGGTATTGTCTCCTGTTGAACTAAAAGAACCTACAGGACGAAACGGGCTGTGGTGCTGCGGCCTCTGCAGCGTCCAGAGCAGGGGAACCCTGACAGATTTACTGCAGCCGGATGACGCATGCGTAGATGCGTTTTTTCACAATTTTCTTGTGGGCGGGACCACTCACGGCCATTTTGGATGCTCCAGTAGAGCACATTTGGCCCATTAGTTAGAACGGCGGAGATAGGCGTGATTCTGTCCATTAATATATACAGTCCATGGTACCCAGCTCCGTCCCTCTCTCCCCACCCACCCACCTACTTCTCTCTCTCTCTCTCTATCCCATACCTACCTCTCTCATCATCAACATGAGAATTAGAAAAGTGTGAGTTTTGGACTAAACTGAAGTCCTGATCGTCAGTCGTCAGTCGCAGTGAAGTCGATGCTTTCTGAGGTCTTTGAAAAAAACGTGTGAAGTGAAACATTGAAGTGAATTCAACTCCAAAAGTTCAAACTCTTCTATTTTCAGCACTTAAAAAACTCTACACTTTTAGGCCCTGTCCACACGAAGTCAAGCTCAGGCCTAAACGCAAAAATACTTTATCAATCCAGTGTATCGTCCATACGAGGCCGGCGTTTTGGGGGGGTGTAAACGAACATTTTTGAAACTAGGTCCCAGAGTGGAAAGATTTCAAAACTCCGTATATGCCGCTCCGTGGTTACTGCCTCTCCGCAATGTATCTGAGACGCTTGCGTCATCGCCCCGCCTCTTGTTAAAGCAGCATGCGCCGCACTCAGAAAATAATGACAACAACAATGTAGCTTGTTGGTTTTGTAATCCAGTGCGACCCGAAGCAACAGTTCAACCTCATCGTCCGTCCATACTAATGTAGTACCAGCTCGCCCACTCGCCATGTTGTCTGTTTACAAAATTCTGCGCATGCCCAGTTCCCGTCACGGAAGTTTGGGCTTGATCCCGTCATTGCGTCACAGCGCCACCAACAGGTCTGGCATAGTTTCACAGCGTTTTCAGGCGTATTGACTACATTCATATGGACGCACACACTTACTGAGCTAACTCCGTGTTTACAGAAAAAGTTTCTGAAATTATAAGCGTTTTGTCTTCGTGTGGATATAGCATAAATGTAGGGTTCTTGAGCCACTTAAGTCATTTGCATAATAGTGAAAAAAATGTCTCCAACATGAATAAAAATGGTCCTTGAATTCAACCACATACTTTCATTGGAAATCCATCAAATGTTGTGTATTAGTGGCAATGTCGTTCATATTTGCGCGTTTTAAAGCTGGGATACCTAACTTTCAAGGCACGACAATAATCAAGACCATACCTGCAGGTGAAAGCCAGATCCCATCAGACCTCTGGAGCTGTGGAGGGCAGGGCCTGGTTAGTGCTGTGATGGGAGACCTCTGGGAACACCAGGTGCCACAGTGGGGCGGCTGCGGCTGTAAAAACTGTGGTTGTATTCTTAGGCAAGACACTTCAGCCACGTTAGAATGAGTTTGTGTGAATGGTTGATGGTGGTACAAGCTGGTTGCTTCTTGTAAGGGATTGATGGTGCAGCAAGAAACACACAAAACCGTTTAAATGACTAGGCTTTTTAAATTAGCCAAAAAACGTGTCTAAGCAGCATGTTTCGTGAACGTCCAATCGTCGCTTGAATATGCCTTTTGCGTGTGTTATTTTAAGGATACTTTAGGGGTTTTTAAAGGACCTCGCACGAAGGCCTTTACAAAAAGACGCAGGAAAAGTGGCTCTTTCGAAGGGAGCAGAGTCCAACAATGCCAGAGTTTGCGGCGATCACTTTGCTGAAGGTTAGTGAATCACATTGGCCTTCATTTATATTCAGATCTTTTCAGGGTTATGATGAACAGTGATTTTACGATGCAGAATGTGTCCTTCACGACCTTAACTCCGACTTCCTTAACCCACTCACAGACAGTTGTAGCATCCAGACAAAAAAGTTGTTGGTATTCATGCTTTTCTATGCATTCATGTGTTAAGCAGTGCAAAAGCTTGATTGTAACTCTGGATAGTTTGAGATATCCCGTTTTTTTTCCATCTCACAAATCAAATCATTCTTGGAAAACGCATTAGGATCCATACCGTTACACAACTTGACTTTTTCAATGTGTCAATCGCAAGAATTAGAATCCAAAACAAAAATACTCAGAAGAAGAGTCAGATTTTCTTCGGCAGCCATTTTTGTTGGCCTGACCACCACTTCATTAACCCAATCCCAATACCCACAATGCACCCTACACTCCTCCACGAAGTGTGCATTTGTTTGAAGTGCACGCAACGGTTTGAAGTGCAGGTTACGTCATCGACTCGTCAAGAGATGGTCATTTTCAGACCTAAACTTTATAAAAATTAAAGGTCACTTCGTCCGACCCTGTGGGAAACAAAATGAGTTGCTCCACACACGTTAAAATAAATGTATATTAGTTATTTGTAATTTGAGATAGCTGTATAATTTTAAGTTAAATGTGGGTAACTAACTGTTATCTGGTCAGTTTTTAAACATCCTAAGTCGATTGTACCTAAGTGTAAAGTTTAAATTGAATGTCATATGAATGCTTGCAATAAATAAAGTTATGAAATTGTTAGCATAGAATATCCGTAAATACATGTAATAAATTAAATGCAATTTCCCGACATTTTGGTGTGTACCGCAAAGAATTATGGGCAATATCCTTCGCCAGAGTCCGCTTAGATGCAGACTACAGCAAAGTGTGGATCAGGGACGCAAAGGGGGCGGGGCTGAAAACCTCCCTCGAGAATTGGGACACCCTACGCACTCGCACCCATCATCGGGAACGCGCAAATGAGGGGCGCGAGGGTGGAAGTGCGAGCATTGGGACGGGGCCTTGACGATCCAACCGGAAGTAGGAGAAAATCCTCCTGTATACCTTCAATATTTGGTCCAGTTTTGGTTCAGTCCACAGGAACTGAACTAATTCTAAAAGAAAGTCCAATCCAACTAATGTGAAACAAGTCATTTATTTAGAAACCGTCATATTCCAAAAAAAATGTATAAATTAAACCCACTTATTTTTTCGGCCCCTGACCAGCCCTTTCTTTTTTTATTCGGCCCTCAACCAAAATAAGTTTGACACCCCTGGGATAAATGTTGACCATAAAGATTCATAATCTTTGAATGTGGAGTGTCCTGGATCATCACCATCTGCCAGGAACTACTTTCAACGACTCCAAATGAAATAAACTACAAATCTGACTAAATTCTGGAGACCGCTGCAGTAACAATCGTAGCATCGAGAAAACAAAGTCCTCCGCCGCTTTTCCGTTTATTCCATCGGTTTGACAGCTTCCTATGCATCTGTGTAAAGTTCAAACCATTGAAACCAATTCTCTGTCATCTCTGCAGGAGCTAGCTTACGTCCCGTCGCAGTCGTTTCTATTGACGCCTTTTGACTTTTCCATACATCCCTGAAAAAAACAGAACTTCTCGGTCCAGGCCGTATACAGAACTACAGTGTATGTTGATCTCCTGAAATAATGTAGTCGTTGTGTGCGTGTTTTTGATGTGCAGTGCTTTTTGAATTATTAATTATTTTCCTGTGTATGTGCGTGTGTAGGTGTGCGTATGTGTGTTAGTGTGTGTGTACGGGTGTTTGTGTGTGTGTGTGTGTGTATGTATATGTGCGTGTATGTGTATGTATGTATTTGTGTAGGTGTGCGTATGTGTGTGTGTGTGTGTACGTGTGCGTATGTATGTGTGTGTGTACGTGCGTGTGTGTATGTATGTGTGTGTACGTGTGCGTATGTATATGTATATGTGTGTATGTGTATATATGTGCCTGTGTATATGTATGTATGTGTGTACGTGCGTGTGTGTGTGTGTATGTATGTGTGTGTACGTGTGCGTATGTATATGTGTATATGTTTGTGTATGTGTGTTATGTTGTGTGTCTCTGTATCAGCGAGTTCCACCGGGGCCACCATAGAATAAAGTCTTTGATGATGCAACAGCGTGGTAAAGTTGTGTCTCTAATCTCACGTTATGTTTGCCTTCCGGATTCTTTCGTCATTAATTCATGGAGTTAAACGAAGCCGGTCCTTTAACAGGAAAAATACGTTTTTTGTCCCAACAGCAAGAGAAATGTACTGAATATGGGAATAAAGGAGACTCATTTCTATGCTAAAGTTGTATACTAATTAGGCTAAAGCTACAGATTTTATACTAGCTTCTTTATTATGCTAAAGCTGGAGATTTTATAGAGCTCCATTTTGAAGCTTTTATAATAATTTGCAAAGTTGTTCTTTTCATGCATCTGCAACTCTTCTACCGAGTCTGTAACCACGGCAACACGGGCCAAATCACTTACAAAAAGTTTGAGAGTGGCGTGCCACCAGAGAGACCAGAGAGAGAGAGACTATGAGAGAGACCAGAGAGAGAGAGAGACCAGAGACTATTAGAGAGATCAGAGAGAGAGACAGACCAGAGAGAAACCCAAGAGAAAGACCAGAGAGATACTAAAAAGAGAGACCAGGGAGAAACCAAAGAGGTAGACCAGAGAGAGAACAGAGAAAGACCAGAGAGAAACCAGAGAGAGAGACCAGAGAGAAACCAGAGAGAGAGCCGAGACAGAGACCAGAGAGATTCCAAAGAGAGAGACCAGAGAGAAAGACCAGGGACCAGAGAGAGACCAGATTGAAAGACTAGAGAAAGAGACCACAGAGAGAGACTCGAGAAAGAGAGACATCACACACTCTCCATTGTCTGTGGATTTATTCCCAGTGATAGTCCAGAGCAATAACCAGAGTGTGTTTCCGATCCCGGCTCCTCTCTCTTCTCGTTAGTCTCGCACCAATCCATTGCTCCACACGTTCCTTTGTCCGCTGACCGTGCCACGACATTTTGCACCGCCCGTTGGAACGTCCGTGCGCGCCGGCGTTTCAGAAGCATAATTATAGTTAGCGTTCTAGAGCTCCCATTGTTCAGAATGCATCATGTGTGAGGCTAATTATCACTTTTAAGGAATCTACTCTAGAAATTACTGTCTTAACCCTTTAATGGTTTCCTTAGATCACCTTTTGGAGTATATATATCTACTTTATGAAAGTTTGGAACTGAAATATACCTTTTTGGGGCATCTCAAAGGACTATAAAAAGAAATGGGGGTAAAATAAAAATAAATAGGTAAAAACAAATTATTATTTTTTGTTCATGCTCCTGTATCTGCAAAATACAATAAAAGCAATAGTGACTAAAACTACAATATTCAACAACAACGCTATCAACACTACACAATTATCAATAATACAAACAGCTATGCTAATAAACACCTACCTAAATGCTATAACTAACCGCAAACCCAACAATCGATGAAAATACTCTCTGCCTTTCCTTCCATCCTTCGCTAGGGGGCGTGAACGAGACTGGGCTGTTCACACTCACAGCGCGGCAGGGCAACTGACGTCAGCCTTCGCTGCAAACGTCAAATATCACTGCAGACGTCAAATATCGCTGCAGATGTCAAATATCACTGCAGACGTCAGGTATCACTGCAGACGTCAAGTATCGCTGCAGACGTCAAGTATCGCTGCAGACGTCAGGTATCGCTGCAAACGTCAAGTATCACTGCAGACGTCAGGTATCGCTGCAGACGTCAAGTATCACTGCAGACGTCAGGTATCACTGCAGACGTCAGGTATCGCTGCAGACGTCAAGTATCGCTGCAGACGTCAAGTATCGCTGCAGACGTCAGGTATCGCTGCAGACGTCAAGTATCACTGCAGACGTCAAGTATCGCTGCATACGTCAGGTATCGCTGCAGACGTCAAGTATCGCTGCAGACGTCAAGTATCGCTGCAGACGTCAGGTATCGCTGCAAACGTCAAGTATCACTGCAGACGTCAGTATCACTGCAGACGTCAAGTATCACTGAAGACGTCAGGTATCACTGCAGACGTCAGGTATCACTGCAGACGTCAGTATCACTGCAGACGTCAAGTATCACTGAAGACGTCAGGTATCACTGCAGACGTCAGTATCACTGCAGACGTCAAGTATCACTGAAGACGTCAGGTATCACTGCAGACGTCAGGTATCGCTGCAGACGTCAGGTATCACTGCAGACGTCAAGTATCATTGAAGACGTCAAGTATCACTGCAGACGTCAAGTATCACTGCAGACGTCAAGTATCACTGAAGACGTCAAGTATCACTGAAGACGTCAGGTATCACTGAAGACGTCAGGTATCACTGCAGACGTCAAGTATCATTGAAGACGTCAAGTATCACTGCAGACGTCAAGTATCACTGCAGACGTCAAGTATCACTGAAGACGTCAAGTATCACTGAAGACGTCAGGTATCACTGCAGACGTCAAGTATCGCTGCAGACGTAAAGTATCACTGCAGACGTCAGGTATCACTGCAGACGTCAAGTATCACTGCAGACGTCAGTATCACTGCAGACGTCAAGTATCGCTGCAGACGTCAGGTATCGCTGCAGACGTAAAGTATCACTGCAGACGTCAAGTATCGCTGCAGACGTCAAGTATCGCTGCAGACGTCAAGTATCACTGCAGACGTCAGGTATCACTGCAGACGTCAAGTATCGCTGCAGACGTCAAGTATCGCTGCAGACGTCAAGTATCACTGCAGACGTCAGGTATCGCTGCAGACGTCAGGTATCACTGCAGACGTCAAGTATCACTGCAGACGTCAAGTATCACTGCAGACGTCAGGTATCACTGCAGACGTCAGGTATCACTGCAGACGTCAGGTATCACTGCAGACGTTAGGTATCACTGCAGACGTCAAGTATCGCTGCAGACGTCAAGTATCGCTGCAGACGTCAAGTATCACTGCAGACGTCAGGTATCGCTGCAGACGTCAGGTATCACTGCAGACGTCAAGTATCGCTGCAGACGTAAAGTATCACTGCAGACGTCAGGTATCACTGCAGACGTCAGGTATCACTGCAGACGTCAAGTATCACTGCAGACGTTAGCCTTCGCTGCTTTGCCAATGGCGCCAGATTCTAAATTCAAATGTAGTAAATACAGGTCGCCTGCAGATGGCGCCTCACTGACGGTTTTAGGCAGAAAGTTGATCTTTCAACTAATTTACACTAAAGTGACAAAATTGTGACCAGGATATGTACACAACAGTATTAGACCTCCATTTATACTGTTTATCTGCAAAAAAAGGGTGATTTGAGGGTGAGTTGTCCTTTATAGGGTCAAAGGGTTACTATGTTTTTAGACAATCTGACGTAGATGAGAAACACGTCAAAATGTGGTAAATTGGGCAAAAATGTGTCTTAATTTGAACACATTTCGGCTTAAAATCAGATTTGCCGATGAGACAAAGCAAAATTATATTGCTTTAAAAAGGCACAAGAAATATCCGGCTTGGATTGAGGAAATAAAGCAACAACACAACAAAGCAACACAACACAAGTTTTAGTAATTCTCCCACTAATCAAAAAAGAAAGAAAAAACTACAACTTTTTTATATATATAACAACCTTCTCTCTCCTGAAATGTCCTTTTGAGACCATTAGTTTGTTTTTTTATATTCAGGAGGGAAACAAAAGTGGCATAAGCGTTTTCTGTTGCTCAAACAAGGAGCCCGATGCGTCAGCGCAAATGTTGCCAAAAGATAATGGTTCGGACACACCTTCTCCGTCAGGAATGATAAAAGTATTGCCTCATCAGAATCTGCGGTGGGCATCAGTGAGTGTTTACCAGACGGATTCTTATTGTGTGTCCTCGATCTTATCCCGTGGCCCTTTCATTTCCGGCTCGGCTCATTTCATTCAGTGGAAACGGGGCCACGACCACTTCACGCCCGGCGCAGGATCTGCAGAAAAGACACAGGCTAAGCAGAGAAACAGGCAACGGCCAGAGAGAGATCAGAGAGAGAGACTAGACAGAGAGAGAGACCAGAGAGAGTGACTAGAGAGAGACAAGAGAGAGGCCAAAGAGAGACTAGAGAGAGAGACCAGAAAGAGACTAGGGATAGAGTGACCAGAGAGAGAGGCCAAATAGTGAGACCAGATACAAGAGAGAGAGACTAAAGAGAGAGACCAGAGAGAGAGACTAGAGAGAGAGACTAGAGAGAGAGATCAGAGAGAGAGAGACTAGACAGAGAGACTAATGCACTGCACTATGTAGGGTCTACATACATAACTATGTTAACATTAAATAAACAGCTTTGGGTAAAAATGGCAACAAGTGACAAGTGACAACAAGACCTAAGAACATCATTAGTGCGAAATCAGCATTTAAAATTACTATTCATGGAGACGAGTGTAAATTGTATATCTGAGAGAAATATGCCTGTATATCATTTGAACTCCTGTAAAGAGAAACGTTTGTAACAAGGGGTAGGAAGCATAAGTTTCACTTCTACCTACTCCTTTTCGAATTGTGCATATATATGTTTATATGTTTCTTCTTTTTGTTTTGTTTTGTATTGCGCATGTAATTCGAAATAAACACACTACTACTACTAGAGAGAGAGACCAGAGAGAGTGACTAGAGAGAGACAAGAGAGAGGCCAAAGAGAGACTAGAGAGAGAGAGGCCAAAGAGTGAGACCAGATACAAGAGAGAGAGACTAAAGAGAGAGACCAGAGAGACTAAACAGCTAGTCCCTGTGCTCCTCAGAGTCCCAGCAGGAGGTCATTGATATTTTAACTTCAGCTCCTCTTGGTACGGCATTATTCGGCACCAAAACTCCTAATGTTAAAGTGTTTTCTATGTTGTGGTAAAATGTCTTTGAGATTTTCTACTTTCGACCACATTCTTTCCATATTTGAAAAGATTGTGATTGATCGTGGAGTCATCATGTCATCATTTCAATATATTATGAAAGGAAAAAATGTCTAAGAAAAATGTAAAGGAGCAGTATGTAAAAATGTGGCCAAAAGTGGTACTGCAGCCTCTCCCACTCTCCCTGACTCAGGTTGCCAGATATGCAGACGAATCCAGCTGGGACCATAACAGCTGAATAGACAAGAGTTTAGTCAACAACAAAACTATAACCAACACCTTTTTCACAAAGATAGAAATCCTGCTTTTATTCCTTGTTTTGTCGTTAATGATTTGAGAATCATAACGATCTTTTTTAGTTCTGCGCCACATGGTACTTTACCAGTGAGATTAGCTCCACGAGGTGAGTTCTGGCAACCTGGATCACAGACTTTCTGATTGGTGAAACGTATATTGCTACTGTAAGTCTGTGGTTATAATCTTTTGGTTGTCAACTTCTCTGAGCTCTCTGAATAAATGTGTCCCAGCTTACTTCTCTGTCATTCTCCTGGCCACCATCTTGCCTTCTCCGTGGCCTTCTCGCTCACGGATCAAAAGGAAATCACCTCTCTCCGAGGAAATACAAGTCCTGACATAGAATTCATTGGATTCGTAGCATAGAGCTGAAGACAGAGAGAGAGAGGAGTTGGTATGGAGAGGGTCAGGAGGCCAGGTTAATGTGGGTCTGCCTCAGAATCAGTGACGTCTAATTGAAAATAACAGCGAAATGCATCCCGGTCAAGTATAGACCCATCCAGACTCTCAAACCAGTGTCCCGGGGGGAGACAGAAGAGAAGAGAATCACATCAAGGAATGTAATGGACACTGCTTGAACTAGATTTAAGAATGGGACAAAGACAGAGAGAGAGACCAGAGAGAGAGACTAGAGAGAGACCAGAAAGAGACTAGAGAGAGACCAGAGAAAGAGACTAGAGAGAGACTAAAGATGGACTAGAGAGAGACTATGAGAGAGGCCAGAGAGAGACTAGAGAGAGACCAGAGAGAGACTAGAGAGAGACCAGAGAGAGACTAGAGAGAGAGGCCAGAGAGAGACTAGAGAGGGACCAGAGAGAGACTAGAGAGAGACCAGAGAGGGACTAGAGAGAGACCAGAGAAAGAGACTAGAGAGAGACCAGAGACAGGCCAGAAAGAGACCAGAGAGAGACTTGAGAGAGACCAGAGAAAGAGACTAGAGAGAGACCAGAGAGAGACTAGAGAGAGACCAGAGAGAGACTAGAGAGAGACCAGAGAAAGAGACAGACCAGAGAGAGACTAGAGAGAGAGGCCAGAGAGAGACTAGAGAGAGACCAGAGAAAGAGACTAGAGAGAGACCAGAGAAAGAGACAGACCAGAGAGAGACCAGAAAGAGAGGCCAGAGAGAGACTAGAGAGAGACCAGAGAAAGAGACCAGAGAGAGACCAGAGACAGGCCAGAAAGAGACCAGAGAGAGACTTGAGAGAGACCAGAGAAAGAGACTAGAGAGAGACCAGAGAAAGAGACTAGAGAGAGACCAGAGAAAGAGACTAGAGAGAGACCAGAGAGAGACTAGAGAGAGACCAGAGAGAGACTAGAGAGAGACCAGAGAAAGAGACTAGAGAGAGACCAGAGAAAGAGACTAGAAAGAGACCAGAGAAAGAGACTAGAGAGAGGCCAGAGAGACCAGAGAGAGTTGTATTGTATTGTTTTGTCCAGGTCGTACATTTTAACAGTAATAAATAAAATCTTTTCAAACACCGGGCATGATTTTTGGTTCATTTTGACACAAATAAAAGTTTAAAACTGAAGATTTCTGGAATGTTTGATATTTGTCGTGGGTCGATGAGGTTCAAATGGAGCTGATTCACTGTCAAAAAATTGGAAATTGTGGGGGAAAAACCGGTAGCGGCGGCACAGAGCGGTGAGGAACTGGGCGTTCTAATCAATGTGGCTCACACACCAGTCAGAAAATAAGTTTTTTCTTTTGAATATGAAGTCAAAATGATGCCAAAACTTTCAAAGCACAAAGACATAGAACAACGGAGAAAAAATCCAACTGGTTTGTCACTCGGAAAAAGTTTCTATCCATGGTTTTTCCAAATGAATGTAGAGGATTTTAGCATTAAAGAGAGAGAGCAGAGAGAGAGAGAGACCAGAGAGACCAGAGAGAAAGAGAGAGACCAGAGAGAAAGAGAGGCCAGAGACTAAAGAGAGGGACCAGAGACTAAAGAGAGAGACCAGAGAAAGAGACTGGAGAGAGAGAGAGAGAGAGAGAGAGAAACCAGAGAGATAGACCGGAGAGAGAGAGAGACCAGAGAGAGAGAGAGACCAGAGAGAAAGAGACCAGAGAGAGAGAGACCAGAGACTTAAGAGAGGGACCAGAGAGAGAGACCGGATAGAGAGAGAGACCAGAGACTAAAGAGAGGTACCAGAGACTAAAGAGAGAGACCAGAGAAAAAGAGAGAGACTAAAAAGAACAACCAGTTAGACCCCAGAGAGTGAGACAAGAGAGAGACCAGAGACTAGACAGAGGGAGCAGAGAGAGAGAGAGACCAGAGATTAAAGAGAGAGACCAGACACTAAATAGAGATACCAGAAAGAGAGACCAGACAGAAAATGACCAGAGAGAGAGAGAGACCAGGGACCAAAGAAAGAGACCGGAAACAGAGTGGCGAGAGAGAGAGAGAGACCTGAGAGAGAGAAACCAGAGACCTACCAGAGAGAGAGACCTACTGTCTTCCATATTTGCCACTTTCCACATGGTTCACAGAAAGATTGAACCATGTGTTATTTATCGGTATGTTTTTCGGCTCACTGCGAGAAAAGGGCAGACACTTTCTCTTCCTGGTCTCTCTTTTTTAAACACATTTGTATTCTGTGTTGACAGTGAGCAAACCTGCCTCCATGGTCCTTTGTGCCGCTCCCCTGCCTACAGCAATCTTCAGAGTCTGAGGCTGCAGAGTGAGCTGATAGCGACAGAAGTTTGGTAAAAGTATCCGCGCCGCAAACCTTCACAGCGTAAAAGAAATAAAGCTTTTTTATCTCACACAAAAGCACCGGAGCTCCTTTAGACCCCGCTTCAGTCCGGCCTATAAAAGTGCAAGACCTTAGCTGCAAAACAGGCCATAAATCAATGAAACTCAAAATACAGAGCCGTAACCAGGCAACAGGAGACACCATGGATCCACAAAAGATTAGGGACTATTTACGAGGGAGCACATGCAAAAGATGTCCCCTTTAAGTCTGAACTAGAAGAGTCAATCTGACGGATTAAATTACTTGTTATCTTACATTCAGTGAGGGCGGGTCCCGGCTCCAAAAGGTCCAAAAGGTTTGCTGGCATGATGCAATCTCACTCCCCCCGGTGGGTGCGGCCCGGAAAGAGAATTATCCAATGTTTTTGTATGGCGTCTGCTTTCCTCTCGAAAACCTCTTTACAGGATGGTCCAAAAGTGGCTCTTGGTCCAAAAGAAAGTGGCTCTTGGTCCAGAAGTGGCTCTTGATCCAAAACTGGTTCTTGGTCCAAAACTGGTTCTTGGTCCAAAACTGGTTCTTGGTCCAAAAGTGGCTCTTGGTCCAAAAGTGGCTCTTGGTCCAAAAGTGGCTCTAGATCCAAAAGTGGTTCTTGGTCCAAAAGTGGCTCAAGATCCAAAACTGGTTCTTGGTCCAAAATTGGCTCTAGGTCCAAAAGTGGCTCTTGGTCCAAAAGTGGTTCTAGGTCCAAAAGTGGCTCTAGGTCCAAAAGTGGCTCTCGGTCCAAAATAAAGTGGTTCTTGGTCCAAAAGTGGTTCTTGGTCCAAAAGTGGCTCTTGGTCCAAAAGTGGCTCTAGGTCCATAAGTGGCTCTTGGTCCAAAAGTGGCTTTTGGTCCAAAAGTGGTTTTTGGTCCAAAAGTGGCTCTAGGTCCAAAAGTGGCTCTAGATCCAAAAGTGGCTCTTGGTCCAAAAGTGGTTTTTGGTCCAAAAGTGGTTCTTGGTCCAAAAGTGGTTCTTGGTCCAAAAGTGGTTCTCGGTCCAAAAGTGGCTCTAGGTCCAAAAGTGGCTCTTGGTCCAAAAGTGGCTCTTGATCCAAAAGTGGTTCTTGGTCCAAAAGTGGTTCTTGGTCCAAAAGTGGCTCTTGGTCCAAAAGTGGCTCTTGGTCCAAAAGTGGCTCTTGGTCCAAAAGTGGCTCTTGGTCCAAAAGTGGCTCTAGGTCCAACAGTGGCTCGAGATCCCAAAGCTACGTTCCAAAACCAGCCGTTAGCATTAGCATTAGCATTAGCCATTCAAAAAACTGTTTTGCTGTATTTTCTATTTACTGCATTTTCCTCGGTTTTACCATGTTTTCAAAGTGAGATTTTCTTTTACAAATCTCTTAATTCTAATAAAATTGTTGAAAACCTTTTGTTTTCTTAATTAATTAATTATCATTATTTATGAGTTGCTTGCAAATAAACCAGCATGTAACAGTACAATATTGTTTACATCTAAAACATTTTAAAACTAATTGATCGTTTATTCTTTAGGAACAAAAAAACAAAAAAAGAATAATTTAACTGTTTCTGTCTCTGCCTAATAATCAATAAAAGGCGGCCATGTTTATGAAATATGTCCAATTTTCTCTCAAACCTTCACTTAAAGATTTTTTGAAATTTTAGGAAAGACCCGCTTTCTCCACTTTTTGAACAAAACTCTCTGCTCTTATTGGACAAGCACCGGAATGATTGACAGTTGAGAGGACCAATAGTCTTGAGGATCCACCCAGAAGTATGAAATCCTCTTATATAGCTACACACCAATAAATGAAGGGACAGGAGTGGGCCCAAAAGGGTAAAATGGGTTTGTTGCCCCCACAGTACCCTCCAGAAGAACAAAACTGCACCTCTCAACATAGGATCATTTATATACCTTATTGTCTGTACCTCTAAAAGTACTTTACTGGACCTTTATGTACAGGTACAAAACTGTACCCATATAAAAGGTTAATTTTGTACCCACTGAGGTACAACTGGAAGGATCTGTTCCTTAGGCAAAAAAATATCCTACATAAAAAAAAAAAGTATTTTTCAGATTATAAATGTAATAACATTTAATTCACTTTAGTTTACATGTTAAAATACACAGTAATAATTCTGGTATAACGTGTTCAACCAAAAAGTTCCAACTAAAGAACCTGAACATAAAACAAACACATTGAGGTATCTCTGCCTGTTCTACGCAGGCCTCCTCACTGGGACTCTCTGTGTCAGGAGACAGGAGACCGAAGGACAATACTTCTATGCCTCCCAAAAGAATGGAACTGGGAAAAACATAACTGACATTCACGTACACCACATGTGATGCTAAAACCTGGTTCATGAACAAGCCCAACATGCTGAATAAAGTTAACAAGAGTAAAGGTTCTTCGCGTGCATTTAGGGCACTGGTATATTGGAGGCATCGAGCAAAGTTGGTTAATTATTCTGAGCACAGTTATTGACAGAGTCTTGTCTCCCTCTTCCACAATGCTGACAATGCGCCGCTGAAGAAAGTTCAAAGTGTTTTTCAGGTGAGGTGGGTATGCAATGTTGAATACGAACTACATACTGAAGGCCGTTATGAAAGCTTCATCAAAAGTTGTGCACTGGAACACATCCACACCATCCACTTTCACCAAACTGGGCCCAGCACTGGTCATCGCCACTTTCCAGTCATTCCCCATCAGTTGAATGGTTGGATACAGGGTGGAAACATCCCTCTGTAAATAAAAATGGTACAGCATTTTACAATAGATTACAAAATGTGTCACATCCTTACACATATCATAAAATTAAATTTTAGACAAAAGAGATTCATAGTTAATGAAATAACAATTCTAGTCTTGTTAAGTGAATAAAATAAAATGTTAACGTCAATTGCAGTCAGTGCATTGCTACACAGACATAGTTATGTGGGAAAGAAGTGATGCTATTAGCTTGGAGCTAAGTGCGCTCCAGCTTCTCATGGCTCTAAGTTTTGCTTTATTGTAACCGTAGTGAAATGTGTCCTCTACATTTAACCCACGCACTGTAGGGAAGTTCAGATGCCTACCAATGTTCAATCTTTGCTCTGAAGATTGAAGGCAACAAGATGAGTCCAGCCCTCAAGTCGATTCCTTAAATGGGGTAAAAAAAATGGATTAGATTGTAGCAAAAGCAGATCATATTCCATGTTTACTACCAGAATGACTTGACTACCTGGTAGGTCTTCAACCAGGGCATCATGTCTGACATCAGTGTACTGTTTTGATAAGATAAGATAAGAATTGCTTTATTTGTCCCACAGTGGGAGTGGGGCGACAGTAGCTCAGTTGGTAGAGCATTGGCCTTAAGCACAGAAGGTCGTGGGTTCAATTCCCACCTCTGCACCTTCTCCACCGATTCCCACTGATGACTGCTGTCGTTGTGTCCTTGGGCAAGACACTTAACCCCACTTTGCCCAAAGCCCCCACTGAAAGATCAAGGCTATGCTCACACTCAGAGAGCAGCCGTCCTCCTGTGGACTCACCACCTGCAGAGGGTCAGTGAGGGGCTGGTGCTATGAGACTTGGGTGGCATCTCTGACTGTCACCCCCCTGACCCAGAAATGGATTAAAGGGTAGAAAATGGACGGAATGGATGGTCCCACAGTGGGGAAATTTCGATGTTGCAGCGCACATATAGGACTACTGTCCTATATGTGCGCTGCAATATAGGAGCACACAGGAGCTCACACAATATATAAAAATAAGTAGTAGCTATGTTTCTTACTCCTGGACGCCTCCCTGGTGAGGTGTTCCCGGCACGTCCCACTGGGAAGAGGCCTAAGGGTGAAGGGACGGCGTCTCTCAGGTGGAGGGGCGGCGTGTCATGGTTTAAGTGTATTTCCTGTTTTATTTTGAAATGTGTTATCCCTGTGTCTTCTTTGGTTGTACTTCCTGTTGTCTGATTACCTGCCCCGCCCTCCTCTGTCTCACCTGTGTCTCGTTAGTCTTGTATTTAGCCCTGTGTGTTCCTTCACTCGCTGTTCCGTCGTTGTCATTCCTAGTCTGTTTTAGTTCTGTCCGTTCCCTGTGTTTTTGGTAGGTCTTGATTTGTATTACTTTCATTAAATCCATCATTTTGCAGTTTTTGCCTTTTGGGCCTCATTTGTTTTTCACCCACGTGACACGGCATCTCTCAGGTGGAGGGGCGGCGTCTCTCAGGTGGAGGGACTGCGTCTCTCAGGTGGAGGGACTGCGTCTCTCAGGTGTAGGGACTGCGTCTCTCAGGTGTAGGGACTGTGTCTCTCAGGTGGAGGGACTATGTCTCTCAGGTGGAGGGGCGGCGTCTCTCAGGTGGAGGGACTGTGTCTCTCAGGTGTAGGGACTGTGTCTCTCAGGTGGAGGGACTGTGTCTCTCAGGTGGAGGGACTGTGTCTCTCAGGTGGAGGGACTGTGTTTCTCAGGTGGAGGGACGGCGTCTCTCAGGTACATATTGTATTATGACGAATAACATTCAACTGTTTTGTTGCACTGACTGCAGGCATCTTTAAGAAGTGATATTTGGCGAGCACTTCCTCTACTGATTTCACGTCGTCCTTCTCCAGTTTATATATATATATATATATATATATATAAGTTTTAAAAACATTTCATTGTTAAACTAATGGCGCAAATACAATCACATAGCTCCTAGTGTGCAGTTATTCCAAACAAAAGTTTGAGCAATCATCATAGAAATGCGTCCGAGTGAAGTCATCAGGAGGCCTAGTGTTTAGACGAATGACTGATGGTTCCAGACTGATGGTTCCAGAATGTTTGATGGTTACAGACTGACTGATGGTTCCAGACTGATGGTTCCAGAATGTTTGATGGTTACAGACTGACTCTCACAAACACCACTGTCTCATTCCCCTGTTTTTATTCTCTCCGTCATTTGGTTGCTTGAATAGCACATGGAGCTAATGTCTCGCCAGATACCATCAAAGAAAATCTAGTCTTTTGTCCTCCACCAGTGATGCTCCAGCTGACCATGA